TGTGTACATGCGTAGAATCAAAGTTCAAATGCCACGGTAAACTAAGAATTAATGTGAACATCGCCAACAAGAAAGGAATCATATACGTCTTCCAGGCGAAGAACAAGGTAAGTCTGGAGAAAATTGTGAGTACGAAAGAACAATTAAGGGGGATCGGCAAAGTCCGAAAATCATTTACAAAACAAACCCACTCCCATTTTATTCAAACTTAGTAACTAAGGAGAATAAAAACATGAAAAAAAAAAAAAAACAGAAAATCAGACAAACCGACACAGCCTGAGGACAGCAACAATGTAAAAATCCTACATCATAATTCGGGAAAAGAACACAAGAAACTAGAAAGTAGTAAAAAGTACGGAAAACGTATTCTCGAAACTTTCTCAGAACAAACCAGAAGTGCTTCAATTCAAAACAAACTGTTATGGTGCTAAGCATTTCGGCGACACCACAACTTTTTACTCGTGTTTATTTGTGATTTTTGAATTAAAAGACATTTGATAAATAGTTTGTTACAATGATTTATTGTGTTGCATATCGCATATCAGTTTAAAAGTCATAGCGACAATAAATATCCAGATATTACGTTTCACAGGTAAATAATAAACATCAATCATTTAAATAAAAGTTCACCGTTTTATGTCAAACATGTTATGCCTCTGGTCAAATAGCATTGGGTCAGAATGGAACACGATTTCCTGCAACGTTACGAGTCCTCTCATTATACTTAGTCTAAGAGAAGATTCATACAAAACGCTTGATAGAATTCCATAAATTATACGGTTATTGTAGAATCGTATTAATTATATTTAAAAAAAATCTAATATCCTATTAAAATATTGACGACCTGTCAATGTTTTCATATTCACTAATATTTTAATGGATTTCTTTAAAATAATGCACCATCAACTTTTGATAGAAAGTAAAATGGCGTTTTATGAGTAATTGGAGAATTACTGGAAAATAAAGGTACGAAGTAGGTATAAAAATGGATGCAAAAAGAGTCTCAGGAATGGTAAAACAACTATCCAAGACTGAGACAGGTCAAACAGTTCACCAAGGAATCATTGGCCAAGTTTACGAGAGACCTACTACTACTGGATCAAAAACGTTAAATCGTTAGGACAACAGTAGGTCTTCTTACTGGACACTGTCGCCTAATAAGGCACATAAGTGTCATCAATTCAGAAGAAGAAGGAGCAACTTTGTGCAGGTTCTGTGAAAAAGAAGGGGAAACATCAATCCACGTCCTGTGTTAGTGTGAAGGCTTGGCTAGAATGAGATGTCTTACATTAGGCGAAGAAAAGCCAAATGCATACAACTACATGCGGGAGTCACTGTCAAAGCTACTAAGTCTAATAAAAAATACCAAGCTAGACGACATACTCTAAAAAACGGAGTCCCACAATAGATCAGAAAATGTTGAGATGGACAAGGACAAATAATGTCCAACTCCTTTTAAATCTAAGGTGCAAAACATATTTCTAAGGATGCAACAGCACTTCCGGTTTTTTATAACGTGAATTAAATTTTAATTTTAGTTAATCCTTTCCTACGTAGATGTAGCTACAATCTTTAACCACCAAGAGTCGTTTAGCTAAATAATAATAGCAACCAAACTTTTATTTTAGGTTCTCAGTTAAGTTCGTCTGATCGGTAGTTATCTAGTAATCCAATTGTAAAGCAAGGATTTTCTTGTTTAATATGAATTGTATATTACCTGGCTAATTAGGGTCGCAGGTACTTTGCTATTGAAGTTTAATGTAAAGTTTTTTTATAGTATGTCTTATTTCAATCATTAAACATTTAAGATAAGATAAGAAGTTCTGTATGAAATTGTAAACATCTGTTTTGACCATGTAAAATACACTGAAATTGGCGGATTTAATGTAAATCTATTACCTAAATTTAATATTTTATGGAAACATTTAGATTACATCAAAGGTTAATTAGGAAATCTCTAATTTTAAGTCCGAATTGCCAAATGTATTTATAAAAACATTTTTCGATTTAAAATATATTCAGAATTCAGTGTTTTGAGTTAATTTTTGTATTAAAACAGAATGCAGAAACTTAAACAAAAAGTATAAACTAGAATCTAAAATTGTTTGATTATTGGTTTTGTTATTTTCGTTTAATAGACTCTTCCCATGCCTACTTTAGGACCAAATTAGTTCAAATGAATCTTAATGTTGTCAAGAATTACTTTTACCACGCCTCTAATTTGATTTAAAAAATTAAAGGATGTTACACAAAAGAGACCCTTGTACTCTTTAAATAAATTTACCATTATTGGCCAAATGCACTTCCTTATCTTTTGATTGATTTTGTAACACAGTCGAATGTGAATACTGTATCTTTCTCCAAGGATTTAATTAATGAAATTGATCATTTTCACTGATCACCTTTTCGACCCTTTCGAAATTTATTACGAAGTACAGTATAGCATGGGCACGGATCTAACCGAAGTGGACGCGATACATTGGCGTACAAAATTATTTTATAGTTAAGTTGTTAATAACAATTTCGAGTAAATAATTTAATAAATCGTGAATAACTGTTGAAATTTTGTAGAATTGTGATTTGGATATAATAATACATGTTTAATAATTATTTATAGTCCATAAATACATGCAATTGTCCGGTTCCGTCGATAACAGTTTAAAATTACTTATTCTATGAAACGACACTGGCAGGTAAACATTACTGCGAAATTCTCGAGTCGTCGGACGTGGTTTGACGTTTACCCCCTTTTCCACCTACCAAAAGCCTTTCCAACTTCTGCCCCTGCTATACAAGATTGAGATGGCAAGTAAGAATTAGATGCACACTGGTAAATATAGAAATGTGAGGAGTTATCTCCGTTAATGGCTGAACTTCTATGCTATTGTTTCAGTCATCTATTTGTGTTCACTTGTGCAGTGCTGCCAAATTTATCTATTTTGAATTTTTGCCAGTGCGTATCTAATTCTGACTTGCCATCTCAATCTTGTCGTACTGTAAAGATATTACTCTAACCGCTACACGTATGGCTGTACTACCAGATATCCTGTAAAACTTAAAGGTCTTTAGCCGCCCGTTAAATAAAAAATTGTATTCTGTATCAACAAATTATTAATTTTAACGGAGTATATACAACATCGGATTGAGATTCATTTGAACTAATTTTTATCTAAGGAGCCCAAGGGAATAATCCGAAAAGTAAAAGGACAAAGGCGGATAACATAGCCAATATTTCATAAAATATCCTTCCGACTAAATTAATTAGAACTTTAGTGCCATAACTGAAATATACTATTTTAGGTTAAAAATCAAGTGAAGTGAAAAAAGTGATGACAGAGATCAGACGCACAAAAGGAAGAAAAATATAACCAATAATCAAACAATTTACAAGTTTAATTTTATTTTTTTATTAGTGTTTGGCGTTAGACTGTTTTTGTATTTTAATACTAAAACTAAAGCAACTAAAAATACCGAATTCAGGCATCATCTTTATTAAATTGAAAAATATTTTAAAAAATACATTTGGCAATTGGAGCGGGCCTCTTGAGTCCCTAAATAACCCTTGATGCAATCTAAATTCTGCACAATATTAAATGTAGGTAGTCACTTTACATAAAAATGTTACGTTTATTCATTTTCCAGTAATTTTTCAATCAAATCTTCTTCAATTACATCACAAAACATCATTTTACTTTCTATCAAAAGTTAAATGTGCATTTTACCACCCCAATCAACACCATAATAATAGGATTACTATAAATTAAACATGTAGAACACTTTAGGCTTTAGTTTTTCATATATTTCTGTTAGAATTAATTAACGTTTGCTCTCTATATAACAGGAAAACTTAAACACATTTTCAAGTTCAAAATTTTCCAAAAATTCATAGAAACGAACCGGGAATTATTTGCACTAAACCCGTTTGACCATCCTACTGACTGCGCCACTTGACAAAGTAAACTCCGTATTTAGTTAAATAAAAAGAAATTTCATCAAAATTACAAAATAAAGAACAGAACTGGATATAATGGGAAATGTAATAAAAAATATGCCATAGTAACTCAGAGTTAATAATAACCACTACCATGAAGAACAAGTTAACATTGTTTTTTAAACATTTCTCTCTACTACAACCTTGAACATGTTTGAACATATCAATATGCAGGGAAACATTTTCAGGGCTGTTTTGTAGAGAGAAATGTGTAAAGAATAATGAAATTTTATTTTTCCGGGAAGATAGATGCAATGGCACATCAGAACGTAGTTTTCAACTCCAATCAACTTTTGTTTACAACAATTTTCGATATTTTCGCATATGACTGAAAACATTTCATTTCTGATGGTTGTATTTTAGTTTTCAGACTATATCTATGTAGAATTATTTATCAATATTTTTATTATTAATAAAAAAAAATGTTTTCCATGATTCAAACTTAAGTAGATCTGCTGTATGATAATACATCTGTGGGATACAGAGTATTTTAAGAAGAATAGAAAATAATAACCAATAAATAGAATGAATTATGAACTTACAAAAAAAATCCTCAATATTTCGTCACTTAACACTACATAACCGGGTAAGATACATGTGTAGTATATCCGACTGGATATTAATATTTCTGAACTTGTAGTTAATATTTTTTTATAGGTCCACATAAACCTCAAAACTACACTTTACACCAATACACATAAAAATCTCTTAAGGTTCATATCACATCATTTGAACGAATCATAACCAAAAATCGAACAAAAAAGTTTTTATAAAACAAATTCGAAGTATACTCATTGCACAACACTTATAGATATTTGCAAATTGGTAAATAAAAGAGATTAGTCGAAAGGGTAAAACAACGAAAATATATATATTATAAATATATACTTACCACAAATAATCGTATCATTTAATCATTTGTGAAAAATAAGCAAGGAAGCTAAATTATTATTATAATTTTTTTTTTTTTAGTACAAAAGGAACAGTAATTTTTTTTTGTTTTGTTTATTTACGACGACAAAAGTTTTTGTATCGATTCTGTTGCACTGGATTCTAGGGAAGACACTGCATTCGCTAATTCTTGAGGAAAATCACGGTTTACTGTTTTTATGAAGTCTCCCAATAAGATTTTAGTTTCTGCAAAAGAAAAAATAGTTATTTTTCTACGATCACTATCCAAAGTAGGCTTTTGCGCTTCGAAATACAACCGCAAACTTGACAACTTTGTTGCTCGCCTAATTTAAATTAGATATAGGGCCAGTCTTTTTACAGTAAAGGTGAAAGTAACTACTTACTGATTAACCTATAGGGCTATTGATTGTTAATCTGTCAAGTAAACATACATGTAACTTTACTCAGAGGTGAAAAGATCGACCCATAATATAATATTTCTTTTTAATAATTAAGTTTTGAGTTTCAAGTTATCTGTACCTAGTTTGTTTTTTGTTTTATTATCCAAGTTAACATTGACTTTGAATATCAACTCCGTTTTTCATGATTAACGTAGATATAGGCAACACATTAAAAACTACTTACGACATATTTTCAGTTTTTATCTTTCTGTTTCAAGCGACTAAGTATCACTTTTCGCTCTTAATACACAAATAGCTATTTCCTAACAAGTGCGCAAAGTGTTACTTTTCCACAAGCAAATACAGTTAAAGGAAAAATTATTTAATGAATACCAAAAAATGTATTTTATATGGGCATGCTGTTAAAAATTTAATATTTTAAAATTGACATTTAAAAAGATAGCTGTATCATCTAAATTAAGATGTTCACAGACAAACACTAAAAGAGATATTCACATTGTGCTTTTTAGAACCATTTATTTACAATGAGACGATAATATGAGCGAATTAAAAGTCCACTTACCTTCATTTGGTGTTTGTCCTTTATAATAAATATGAACTAAAATTTTAATAACATCTGCTAAATGTTGCTTTAACATCGAGTTTCCTTGTTGATACAAGGAATAAAAACAATTGACAACAGCCTCGTTTTCTTGATAATCATCTCTCAATGGCAATTTTTGCAAAAACGCAGGAAACACCTAATAATAAAAAATATAATAAATAATAACCCATTATAAATATGTGGCAACAATAAGAAATAAAATACAAGACAAGTCCTTGAACTAGTAAGTAATGAAGTGATAATCGAAAAACTGAAATGATTGTATAAAGGTTGTTAATTCCCATAATAAGAAGTCAGCAATTTAATAGCAAGAAATTATCTGAACTAGAATATTAATTGGACTTTTTTATTTGGCAAGAGAATTTCTGCTCACCATGTATAGAATGTTTTATAAGTTGAGCTTCTTTTAACAGGGAATAGAATTCAATAACAGAAACAGATTTTTCAAATAACTCTTCTTTAGAAACTCAAAAATTAGAGTAATAGTGCTTACGTATAGAATCTTCCATCTGCTACAACGTTTTGTGCTGTTGGTTTAACAATCAAGTGTAAAATAATGGTAGAAACAAAGGGTCCATTGACTCATTTTTAAATATAATTTGGAATATAATGCTGAAATTGGTGTCATTCATTTTTGGACATTGTACACTCTTGTCACTTGTAATATATACATGTAATTAATTAAAACTTTGTATTTTTATCATGTATATACCATAAACCACTACTAGACCGATTTAGGTGCAATTGGTACGACCTTTAGTTCTAGTTTGATGATAAGAAAAATATCGTTTAACTACTTTGGGTACATATTTTCGGAAAACTAATCATAGTTAAAAACTGAACTTTTGTTAATGTAATCATTTTTAAAATTAACAGAAAAAATTTAAAGCATAGTCATATAAAAAAGTGGCTTTTCTAATATTTCCAGTCTTTGCAATCGGTTTAACACCCTATATGATATAGAGTGGTAGGTTGTAATTTTTTTTTAATACACTGATTTAGTGATGACGTAATTATGGTTCCACTGACAATTACAATGACTGTAGACTATGTAAGTGCATTTTGTTCGTTTTGTTTATCTAAATTATATAATTAAAAACTTTTTTTAAATATATTCCTAAAGTACTTAGATAACAGGCATGAAGTATATAATCTTTAGTTACCGATTACATACCTTTTAACTATTTTTTATGACCTGCAAACAATATTAAGGAAAAACTAAAAACGTATATGTCAAATTTAATGTTTTTATTAAAAGTTTGGTTAGAAGTTAACTGTCAGTAAAACCATTTTTGCGTCACACTAATATGGCGTATATAATACAAAAGTTGTAGGACACATCATTTATACAAGGTAACTCGTTGAAGCTGTAGAAAAATATATTTGTAACCATATTTATAACTCTCCGAAGTAATTACTTATAGTATATTTTTGTTGCAATAACAATTGTTCGTATTTTTAATAAATATGATTTATTTTTCAAAACCAATGTTACATATATTCGAATCGCTCTATAATTAACCAAATTCTACTATGTTTTACTTTCCTGTCTGTATACAGAAGGAAAGTATAGGAATCATTTTTTGATCTCGAATTTTTGATGGTATTTTACGTTTTGGGGTCTCCTGAATCCGTTTTGACTATTTTCGCGATGATGTATGTGTCTGTATGTGTAGGTGTGTGCGCGTCTGTATTCAAAATTGGATAAAGAGAAAAACACTAAATTTGAAACTTAAGCTTTAATGCATCCTCTGAGTTGATTAGATTTTGGACAGTCAGAGCATCTGAAGGGATACTTTATAGGAGGTCGTTTTTCTACTTTAAGGAATATATGTTATTTATGGATGGAAAAGAAAATTCGCCAAATAAAAGTTGCTTGTGATTCAATCCTACTAATATACAGGGTGTCCCGAAATTAGACGGTCATATTTTAACAACGTAATCTACATCCTAAAATAGGAGTAAAAGTTCACGTAAGCATAGGTCCAAAAACGTTTCATTTTCGAGCTACAGGGTGTTACAAGTGAAGTCCTGAGGCACATTTTTGTAAATATTTTCTAAAATTTCTTTAGTCACCGGTTTTCCAAAGTTAAAAAAAATAAAATTTATGATTCTACAGGCCTACTAATTATTGTTTACACTTTCGAATAAGATAACATCGACTTATCATAAAATTTTCAAATGCTTTTCTCTTGAAAATGGTGCGTCCTATTAGCGAGATGCAACAAAAGTACCTTTATTATAAAGAAAACATTGGTTTTCCAAATTTTATAGTAAAAAATGTTAAAAACTGTCAACAAAGAAAAAAAGCCTCCTTAATTTACCCACCTATGAAGATGATCAAAAACTGGGGTTTAGTCCATTAAATATAACGTAAAAAGGTAAGCATTTGTATCAAATTTCACTTAATTATCTATAAACGTTTAGAAAATATTGAAAGTGTGTCATCAAGACTTCACTTTTAACACCCTGTATCTTGGAAAAGAAATGTTTTCGGACCTATTTTTATATGAACCTTTACTCCTATTTTAGGATGTAGATTACGCTGTTAAAATATGACCGTCTAATTTCGGGACACCCTGTATAAATGCGAAAGTTTGAATGGATGTTTGTTGCTCAATCACGCAAGAACGGCTGAACGGATCTAGATGAAATTTGGCACAAAAGATATATTATAGTCTGGAATAGCACATAGGCTACTTTTTATACCGAAAAAATGTATGGTTCTCGTGGGATTGATTTGTTTTTGTTTCTCACAGAGCAAGGGATCGGACATGATTTTTTGCATAGTGGAAGTGAAACATGAAAATTTGAAATACTGCTACCGAGCATAAATAAATAATGACGTGTTTCAGGGTTTTTGGATTTTCACATTTTAAGGGGGGAAACGGGGGTTGAAAGTTTGCATGGAAGTATTGATTTTTTTTATAGGTAGGAACTTGAGAATTAAAATTATAGCTACTCATCACAAATAAATAATGGTGTGTTTTAGGTTTTTGGATTTTCATATTTTAAGAGGGAAAAGTGGAAAATGGGGGTAAAAGAGGAAAAGGGGAAAGAAGGAAAGTGGGGGAAATTGGGGAAATGAAGGAGAGGTGTAGGGGTGAAAGTTTGTATGGTAGGAACTTGAAAATTGGAATTGTAGGTACTAATCATAAATAAATGGACATGTTTCAAGGTATTTAGATTTTTACATATTAAGGGGTGAAATGGAAGGTGAAAGTTTGAATAAGACCTTCGGTCTTTTTATGGTACGAACCTAAATATTGGAATTGTAGCTACTCATCAAAAGTAAATAATGACGTATTTTAAGGTTTTTGGATTTTCACATTTTAAGGAGTGGGGAAATGAAGAATATCGTAAAAATAAATAAAAATAAATTAAAATTAATAAAACGCAATAAAAATTATTAAAAATTAATAAAAACTAATAAACATTAATAAAAATCAATAAAAATTCATAAAAAATAAAAACATTCCAGAAATTTGACAAAAAGTGCAAAATACGAAATTTTAAGAAAATTGTCCAAATAAAGTTGTTTGTAATGTCATTCTCTATAATTTTTTCCTATACATGATTTTCCTAAAATATTGGATAAATTTACAAAAGTGCAAAATTCGAATTTTGAAGATAAACTTAAGCTTTAATCCATTCTGTGTTAAGCCGATCTATAATTCATATTTTCAAGAAAACAAAAATCTGTTCACAAATACTGGCATTTCTGATGTTTAACACTTTGTACCACAAAAACTAGCATTTGGTCAATGGGCACTTTTTGTCAGAACATTGAATTCTACAACACACCAACTTTTCAGAAAATTTGACAGAAGGCCTATTTTTCTATAAGAAAGGAGCCTGGGCGGCTATCCCCGACAATCGCTAAAAAACGAATTAAATGGATATTGCTGAGTATTTTTCATATCTTACCGTGTAAGAATTTAATTATTAATTCATGTATGTCTTATTTACAGATATTAATTTGCTTGCGGTTTCTTGCAAGTGGTAGTTCAAAGCTCTTCTGTATCACACGTTGTGTCCAGACATTTTAACAATTTTGTAAAATTGCCACAAAATATTAAAGAAATGAATGAGAAAAGCAAAGTTATTATTTAAATTAATTTTGTACCATAAAAACTAGATTTTTATTACGCACGATTTTCCTGGAATTATAGGTTGTATTGACTGCACCTGTATAGCTATTTTTCCGCAAAAAATTAACGAACATTTATATATTATGTGATTAGAAAAAAATCATCATTCGATAAATTTACAATTGGTTTGTTGTAATTAAATTACATAATATTTTTTTTACACATTACTTGAATTCAATGATATAGACAGTTTACAGTGATGCCAGACATATTTGCTTGGTAAAAACGTACAAGTTTTAAAAAACGAATGCTCATCGAACGCCAGTCATGAATATAGATTGCAAAAACTACTTGCTTTTCAACCACTCAATTTCGAAAACGGTTCGTTTTTTTAGCGATTGTCAAAAACATATTATAAAAGACTCAACTTTTTAAACAGCCTGTATCGCAATTATTTATTATTATGATGCCTGAGTTATTAGTCACAAATTAAGTTTTTTTTTTTTCAGGAGACAATAAAAAAATTCCAATTTTAAAACTGCATTGAATTTAAAAACTCCCAAAGTCCATTTGGTGGATTTGATTTGTAATGTTAAGGTAATTAGAACATCCTAAAAGTTTTTGGTAATTTTGAGTTATTTATTACATATTGGAGTTAGAAGGTTTTCATAATTAACTAAACTGACTTAGGTTTGCAAACTAAGGCATCGATTTGTATATTAGAATTCCTATTTCTACAAAAATATTATCAATAAATAAAAAATATATTTTTTACATACTTGATCTAAAGGTATTCCACTAGGGTTAACTAGGATCATTTTGGCTAGAGCACCACATATATTATCTAAAGTTCCGGAATGGGTTTCTTTTGATACAGCCGTCGACAGAGCTTGTAAAATTTCTGAATATTGACTAAAACAGAAAAAAAAGCATTAAAAAAGATATATAAAAATTATTTTAAGAGTGACTAGGCAAAATATTCATTAGTTTTAAATAATAAATAACTTATTAAAATACACCAAGAGGTTCATATAATATTCATTTGAAAGTTCATTCTATGTATCAGTTGTATTAAACATTGTGTTGTAAGTCAGTATTTCCTAAAATTTTCCACATTTAAAAAAAAAACCATTACTTGTGATCCATTCTTCAATAAAAGGCAACCTAATAGTCTAGGATCCAGGGGTCGATTTCTGCAATGAAGCTTTTTTTTAATGAAACTTAATTTAAATGAATAATTGATAACAATATAATAATAAATATAATTATCAAAATCTCCAATTATGTGTTTTCACCTTTGGGGTTCGGAGATGGTCTCAGGAATTCGTAGGGGGATTTTTGAGATTTGTTTCCGAATTTTTAAATTGTTTCAGCCACTTATTTTTTCAGATTTACTGATTTTTTGGATTTCGATTTGCAATTTCTTGATATTAATTTACAATATATATTGTGTGGTCTGCCTAAGATATTGTTTGTACCGTAGTGTTGCTCTCTGTAAAACCTAAATTTTCTCTGGTATGTACAAATTTTATTTACAAAGAATATATCAACGCAAAAGATTAGCATATACAGAATAACATTTTATCCAAAGATTTGGAAAATCTTTCAATTGTGGAAAAATATCTACAAAATACCATAAAATAACCTATAAAGCAAACTAAATAAATACACCAGCAAAAACTCCTATAATATATTATTTATCAATTAATCACAAGTACCGGTTTTAAATTAGAATATACGATTATAAAGGTGACCATACACTTCAGTAAAGCTAAACATTTCGATGCTTTGATATTGGAAAATGGCAAATTTAAGTACGTTGTCACCGGAGCTTTCTCAATTGTATGAGTTATTTTTAAAAGCAAATCGTGATCAAACTGAAGAAATAAAAACAGAGTTTCAAAGCGTCACAAATTCTTTGAATGAAAGGTTAGATGAAGCTTTTGATGAAATTAAGATTTTAAAAGAAAAGAATGTAGAATTAGAGAGAAGAGTGAGAAAAAATAATATTATACTATTTGGGGTCCAACGAGAAGAAGCAGAAAATATTTTAGAAAAAAGCATTAAAATTTTAAACGAAAATCTTTCATGTAATTTAAAAACACAGGACATAAATAATACATATAGACTAGGAAAAACTAACAAGGCTCCTGTACTCGTGGAATTTGTATCGTATTTAAACAAATCTTCACTATTCAAGGATTCCTCAAAACTCAAAGAACTGAATGATAAGGGTTTATCAATAACAAATGATCTTTCGAATGAAGATAGAGAGAAGATAAAAATATTGCGAAAACACCAAAAAGCGGCTCGATTACAAAATTTTGATGCCAAAATTAAGGGGCTGAAACTAATTGTTGATGGTAAATTTTATTCGGTGGAACAATTAGAAGAGAAACAAAAAAGTGAAGAGGAAAGCGATTTTGAAGAAGAAGAAGTAGAAGAGGAAGAAACTGAAAAGAGTACTGGTTCAAAGAAAAGAAAACAACAGAAAGCTAAGTTTAGTCCAGTGAGTACCAGGAGTACTAAAAGGCAAAAATAAAAAATATTATTTTCGTTTATGTTTTCAATAGTTTTTATATTGGTAAATAATTAAGTAGTAATATTGTAATTATATTTTATGTAAAAAATGGACCAATTTATTGAACAGTGTGATATTGAACCAGTAGCTACCCAAAAAATTTATAATCTTAGTAACTTTAAAAAACATGTCTCATTAAATGATTTCAAAATCTTTCATATGAATATTCGCAGTGTACAAAAGAATATTGATCAATTATTTGTAATGTTAGATAATGTATCTGTTGAATTTTATCTCATTATACTAACAGAAACTCTCCAACTGTATGATCCACATTTGTTTCAAATTCCGAATTATGACACTTTATATAGTGAAGGACAACTAAATAGAAACGACGGAGTATTATGTTTTATTAAAAATAATTTAAAATATGAATCTAAAAACATTAATATAGGTGAGGTTAGAGGTTTAAACATTAAAATTACATCTTCTAAAAATAATACAAATATCACAGCTATTTATCGTTCCCCTAGTATTTCGCAATCCGATTTTAATTTGGAGCTGTTGAATTATTTGGATAGCTCCTCTAAAAGTGACATTAATATAATTACGGGAGATATAAATATGAATCTTTTGTCTGATAGTGAATATATTGAGGAATATAAAAACATTTTAAGTTATCATGGTTTCACATCATACATTAATGAGTACACAAGATTACCAAGTAAAACATGTTTGGATCATTTTTGGGTCAAGAGTCGATGGAGTGCAGAAAGTATTAACATAAAATCATTTATATTTAGACAATACATTACCGATCACAGTCCTATAGGGCTGACATTTCAAAATGAAACTACTAATAATAAACAACGCATTAGAGATACTAAAACATTTATAAATTATAAAAAACTTCAGTTAGATTTAGATAAAGTTAATTGGGAAGATATATATATAATGAACTAAACGTAGATGATATGTGGGAAAGATTCATATCTAAATTAAAACATTATATAAATAAAAATACAATGACAGTTTTTACAAAAAATCGAATAACGTATAAGAAAAAGTGGATAACAGCTGGCTTATTTAAATCTATAAAAGAAAAAGAAAAACTTTACAAACAAACTTTACGGAATCCAGAAAATGTTGAAATTAGAGAAAGGTATAGACATTACAACAATAAATTAAATAATATAATAAAGAAAGCCAAACGAACATATTTTTCCCAACAAATTAATAATAATCAAAATACATCTAAGGCTTTATGGGACTGTGTGAATGATATTTGTGGAAAACAGAGACATGAAACAAAAATTGATGAAATAAAATTAATTGATGGTACGAAGGTTACTGATAATGATGAAATTGCTAACCACTTTAATAATTATTTCAGCACTATAGGCGAAGTGTTGGCCAATAAAATACCAAATTTACAGAATTATAAGGATAATTTAGACTTCTTGGAAAACACTATGTATATGTATCAAACTGACCAGTTAGAAGTGTTAGAAATCATAAAAAATCTTAAAAACAAAAAATCGCCAGGTATTGATCAAATAAGAGCAGAAAGTATAAAACAAATCGCTTGTAAAATTATTCATCCATTAACATTCTTAATAAATAAAAGTCTAGATACAGGGTGTTTTCCAAAAGTACTGAAGTGTTCTGTAATAAAACCTCTGTACAAAAGTGGCAGTAAACTTGATATTGGTAATTATAGACCAGTATCTCTTCTGTCGAATTTTTCAAAAATTTTGGAAAAAATAATGAAAAAGAGACTATGCAGTTTTTTAAATAAGTTTAAAATTCTATCGAATAATCAATATGGCTTTAGAGAGGGAAAATCGACCGATGATGCTATCTATAAATTAACTTCAACTATATATGATGCATTAGATAAAAAAACACCTATACTTAGTATCTTTCTCGACCTCTCAAAAGCCTTTGACACTGTATGTCATAAAAAATTGTTGGAAAAATTAGAAAAATATGGGATTCGTGGGAAAGCATTCGATATCTTTGAAAGTTACCTATCAAATAGAGAACAGTTAGTACAAATTAACAATGTTAATAGTAACAAACAGATCGTAACCTGTGGTGTCCCACAAGGTACTGTTTTAGGACCTGTTCTTTTCACACTCTACATTAATAGCCTACTACACTTAGACACATCCGCTAAAATAATAAGTTTCGCTGATGATACTGCCGTTCTATACTCTTCATCTTCATGGAGGAACCTAAAAGAAAAAGTAGAAACTGATTTCCCTAAAATATCAAAATGGCTTTAGTTTAATAAATTAACATTAAATTATGAGAAAACTAGATACTTACCATTTTCCTCTTATGCGACAGGCCTTCCTATGTTGGGTCCATTAAGTGTGGGATTAAATAACGAAGTTTGTGAATCTTCATCAATAAAATATTTAGGGATTATTGTGGATAGGCATATGAAATGGGACCTCCACTTAAAACAACTAATAAAAAAGTTAAGATGTTTTCTACCAAAATTTAGATATCTATGTGACTTTCTAAACTTACATTGCTTAAGGTCTCTTTATTTTTCTTTAATACAATCCTTATTAGTATACGGTATCATTGGTTGGGGAGGTGTGTATGATAATACTTTGAAAAATGTTAATGTAATACAAAAATGGATTTTAAGAATAATTTACAAAAAAAATATTTTATACCCCAGTAATGCACTTTACGAAGATTCCAATATCTACGATATCAGACAACTATATTTTCTACAGATATTATTATTTTTAAAGAAATCTAAGATTATATTAATATCTCATGACCATCCCTACAATACACGTCGACCTGATGCTATTTTATTTCCGCGATCTGAAAAAAGTATTGGCCAAAGATGTAGTGATTATCTGGCTCCTAGAATTTTTGTTTTGATACCTCAAGAAATAAAGGACATTTCTTTGTACAGCAGATACAAAAATAAACTAAAAATCTGGCTCCAAAAAGAGCGTAAATTAGCAAGTGATGCTATAAATCAGATTTAAAAATTTTAAAATTTAAAAATATGTATATGTATCTGTCTCTCCATAAAAACTGTCACGATAATAAGATTGGTCTATTTCTTTATGTTTTTATTTATATTATCTTTCTATTTTTAATATTTTAATTGTTATTTGTAATCTAATTTGTATTTGCATTTTATATTTTTTTAGGTTTGTTCTAATTTTAAAAAATTATTTAAATTTATGTTGTTGGGTTTTATAGGGACATATATGCTTTGTATGTATTGTATATGTGCCTTATCACATACAAGCAGTTTTAAACTGCTTCTGTGATTGCCCCCTATTGTTTATTCAATTTTTTTTTTTAACTGTATATGTATCAATGTATTATCTGAATAAACATTATTATTATTATTATTAATACACTGCCGTCGGGTGGCCTATCAACATATAGCTGCAATTACCGTTAATTAATTAAATTGCAATTAATTTATTTTAGTAAATTTCAGCAATATGTTTTTTGAATGAATTAAAGACCATTGGAAAGAAAACAATGTGAAAAATGTAAAAAAAAGGTGCCGGCTCTCAATCAGCCGCAGCCACTAGGTTGCTAGGTGTGAGCAGGTATGTTATTGTTAATTATTTGCACTTACCATGTTTTTCCAAAAAATTATATACTAAATTAATTTTGACTGAACACCACAGTATATGGTTGCTTTAAAAAAAAATGGCCGCAACTAGTGAGCGTGTGCGACAAAGAAGGAATGCGCACGCTGCTTCGTGTTGTAGACAAGGACGCAGCATAACACATGTTACTGCTATACAATGTTGCCATTGATAGGGAAATTTCCCTTAATCTGGGGATAATCTGCAATTCAGGGAATTTTTAAACTATTTTAAATTTGTGATACAGTAGAACCTCGATTACCCGTGCGCGCTTTATCCGTGGTTGGCGGTCATAAGTTGGTTCATGAACGCTGTTTACTTTTTTGCCTCATTTTGCCGTCCTTCTCTGCTGCTTTCTTACACCTTGGTTTCTTTTTCCTAAACTAAATTATAACTGCTTCTACCCTTACTCTACTAATATCTAGTCTTTTTTCTTCAATAATTTAAAATGAATTTTATCTTCCTTTTTTTATCTTTTTAATATCTCCTACAAATTCACTTATTCACATTTAATAATTTAATATCCCACCGTTGGCCGGGATTTTTTTAATTTAATTTAATTATTTAAAATTAATTCTGATGCCTTGGTAGGATTCCCCACTCGACCATTCACTGTTGGGTTCTAATTAACAGTGCTGTTCCTAAAGTGGCGCTGGGAAACAGTGACAAAGCCTACACAGAACACGAGGCTAATGACCTTAGCAGTCGATGCCGATGACACTAAATTAAAAAAAAAAAATAATAATAATTTAATATAAATTAAATTTAAATAGGAAAACCTTTCTTTTCTTTACAAATCTAGCTGACAAACCCTTTAAAAAAATTTTAATTCTCGTTTGTCATTTCTTTTTTCAAAATATTTTGATTTTCTTAAACAATTTTTAATTCCCAGATCATGATCACTCAAATGTTGATTAATCAATTTTAACAACAAAAAAATGCGTCACTAAATTAATTTTGAACCATATACTATATCAATATTTGTATTGTACATCTAATGTACATTCTTTCATTAAGTATAAATATTAAAACTTTTATTTTTTGTTACATTTATTTTTTGTTTCTTTTGTTCCTTTGACATAAGTATTTAGGTGTCTTCTGATTCTTCCAAAATATGTTGTTAATTGTCCGAGTACTAGATGACCAGTGGAAAGTTGAAAAGTTTTTCACGACGCAGAATTTAATATTCAACTGTTCCACTAGATCTCGGACAGTTTGCAGTACATTTTAAAGAAATCAGACAAGTCTTGTCTAAATAAATTATTAAAAAATCAAGAATGAGATTTTTGATTAACCGTGTTTTCGATTATCCGGCAAAGGCTAGGTCCCTGTTGGCCCGGATAATCGAGGTTCTACTGTATTTGTAAAAAAATATATTAAGTAATCACCAAAAAAATAATTAGAAAACGATTTACCTTTTACCCTTGTTAAGAACCATATCTATCCTAAGTCCTATTTACTATTCGCAGCACAGAATCTCAGACAGGTCGAATTTACTATAAACCTTACTCCCAAAATATAAACAAAGATAAACTTTGCAAGTGAATCCCCAAAACTCCTTTCGCTAGTATTGAAAATGCTTTAAAACCAACGTGGTATATTGGCGATCCGATTCCAATGACAATTGAAGACATTTCAACCGCGTTAAAAAAAAGGCACAGAAGACACAGATGAAACTTCTGACGCAGATGTAAACTCCCGAAGATTCGGATGAAGTAGATTCAAGTTCAGAAGAAGAGGAAGAAAAAGAAGATGATAATGATGATGATGAATAAAAAATAATTGAAATGAATTCATGATTCTCCTAATTTTTTTATTTTTAGTAAAATAAGTATTTGTAAAAAAGTGATTTATATATTTTTTTTTTTTATAAAAAATGTCATTAAAACCGTAAAAAATTTTTATTTTATTATTAAATACATATTTAATTGCCTTAATTGACCAATATTAATTAATTAATTATTTTATTGAATTATTTTATTATTAATTAAATATTATTTGACCATTAAATGTATGAATTTGTTTTTTAATGAGATTACATGTAGAATGAGATAAAAGGGTATCTAATTCAAATACTGGCAACCACTAGTTACGACAATTTTTTTACAGGCAACCATATACTATTGTTAGATTTTTTATTAGATTGTTTGTCGATCAATGTCAGGCAGTGACTGCCTGCTACGGCGACGTTGTTCCTTGAATGCGTCCCGCTTAATTGGAGCACATGCGTGAGCGACCGAATGATTATAAGAGCGCCAAATTCACTATTGTGTTCAGCAAAAATTAAATTACTAGTAAGTGCAAATAATTAACAATAACATACCTGTTCACACCTGGCAACCTAGTGGCTGCGGCTGATTGAGAGGTGGCAACCATTTTTTTTTTTTTTTTTTTTTTTTCATTTTTCACATAATTTTCTTTCAAATGGCGTTTAATTCATTCAAAAAACATATTGCTGGAATTTGCTAAAATATTATTAATAATGGTAGTTGCGGCTAAATTTTGATTAAATTTCATTAAAAAAACAGATCACTGCAGAAATCAGCCCCTGGATCTTGTACTATAATCAATACTGCCAATGACATAGTCATATTTGCGAGAGGCAAGTTTTAACTATATCCTGTATGATCAAATAAAAAAAAAAAACTAGAATAGTCCAGAAGATGATGCTGAGAGGTGCGACTCACTATACTCTCCATCAAAACAATACAAGTAATCATTTTAACGAAAAACGAACTCGATCTCAAAACCGTCAAAATAGACGGACAGATATAGAATAAAAATAAAAAAAAAGTTATTTATCTAGCCGTGTATATTGTTGCTATGCGTTTTAAAAATGATAGCCTAAAAATAACAATCTTGACACTAAACAAATGGAAGCAACATGAATTGATACGTTAAAGTACCTGATACTATTATTACAGTGAGTGTGCTCTAATCCCTCACAAATGAACTAAAACTAATTTACCCGAGGGGGAAACCACTAAGGTCAAAACGTGCCCGTATTTCGGAAATCACCTAAAGAAATGTATGTGATTTCGGTGATTCCGCTGAAAAATCGCCTTTAATTTTAGACGATGACATTTTTTTTTTGGGCCTTCCTCTTTTAATCCACCAGTAGCTGAATTTATATTTTTGAGCAACAAATTGATTTCGAAGTAATTTCGATAATGATTTCGGAAATTCCGATAAAATTTGTAGTGATTTCGAGTGAAAACGTACCAGTAATTCTACCTAATCTGTGCAGCCTGGAGCCACCGCCAGTTGCTTGGCAAAAAAATGTACATAAAATAGGTATAATTAAAAACAATAACAATTAATTTACTATATTCGTAATATAATGCGTTCAACCTTATACCATTTTGATCATATATCATTTGGATCATTAGTACTGTCAAACATTAGTGATTTCGATCATATCTAATTTCGATCTTTTTTCAGTTCCGACCTTCTCAAACTTTTTTTAGTCTCCAAGTTTTGTATTTTTGAAACATTGTCACTCGAATTTTTGTATTATTAAAGTTTTGTCATTCGAATTTTTATAGTTCGAACTATTGTTTTCGAAATTTTACCATTTGAAATTTTCTAATTCGAACGTTTGTTATTTGAACTTATTTCACTAACCCAAAATCTCCATTCACTGTCTCACTGAATATGAGGCAGAGTAGAATCCAGCATTTATCCAAATCCTAAACTTACTTGGGAAAATAGAATTGGAAGGGTCATTATAGACTTCGAGGCTGTTCCCTTGCTGCCTCAATGACAAAGCGACACAATAAGTCTTTCAGGTTGCCGTGTATCTCAACACCTAATAATAACATAATGTAACCAGTACTGCTTACCTAAATACTTTTTCCTTTCCATGTAAAATCATTTCACCCAATCCAAAAATTGCATTATTTCTAACTTCGTCAGCCGCATCCCTTGCACCACTAAACCAAAGGTTTAATAAAGTGGGAATAAATTTTTCTACATAGATCCCAATAGATTTCATACATTCGGCTAAAGTTCCATAAGCAAACGATCTTTGGGATAGACTGTGCTGTTTTTTCTAAACAAAAAACAAAAAGAAAAAATGTTAAGCGAATAAAAATACATACAGTGACAGTCAAAACTAAGGAAAAAATTCGATAAAGTGGAAAGTCAAAAAAACAAATGATTCTTGACATAATATTAGGATATACAGGTAAATGTAGTGATGTCATCGGTATTTTTTGATTAGTAGCCTTCATTTTTATTCCATGTTCTGAAATTCCAACCAAATGCCAACATGGTAATGAAATCAAGAAATTTTTGAGTAAAAATAATTATTTAAACGCATCGCCCTGTATATCCAGATATTATGTCAAAAACAGTAAAAATAAAATTGACCCATTTTTGGAATTTATTCCTTACTTTTTAATCTCACTGTATATAAAAAACATTCTAAAATGTAAAATGTACTACTTGTCAATCACGTAATGTGTAAATGTGGAGAATATTATAATTTTACTTACTGTTCTAGTAGACATTAACTGTAAAATATTGGGAAAATATGACATTAAATCTTCTGGATTAATTGCTGCCGCAAATTTAGGTATAACATCTCCAGCAGATTCTAGTAATAATTCATCTTGTTCGGCTTCGACATCGTCTTCGTTGTTTTCAGTTTGCCCGGCCAAATCTGTGTCTTGACACATTGTCTAAAACATTAGATTGTATCGGTTTTTAAATTTAAATCAAACAAATAACTAGAGTAATTTAAATCAAGTATCAAAGTGCCATTTTTACATTATTAATAGACTATATTTTAAAATTATTAGGTTTTGCATTCGTCGTTACGCTCAATACTGCATCAAATATACACTAAATTCTCATTCTCGATTTTTGTACTACTCCTGAAAACGTCTCTGTAAGCGGCACTGCCTTGGCCGATAAGAAAGGTATCCCAACAAATAACTACGTAACAGGCCTATGGATCGCACAGGTATTTTCAAACTTTAATATTAATACAGTTCATAATTTTGCCAAGGGTCGAATGTCGGTTCTACCAAAGTATATTAACCGTTGAGTAGCGACATAAAGCGTCGGTGCCTTTGAACTTGTGTGGTGCAAATTTTCTTTCTTTCTCTTTTGACGTTATTGACGGAACGACACAGTAAAACACGGCTCGAATTATGAACTGTTCTTGAATGTGATGTTTACACTGCTCGATGTAATTTGAAGTGTAAAACTCTCTCTATATATATATATATATATATATATATATATATATATATATATATATATATATATATATATGTATATCCCAGACGTTCTTCCCTCAAAACTATAAATACTGAAGAAGTACTTCCCTCTTATATAACTTACTTCCCTCCGATTTTGGAGGGAACAAGGTTTTGCATTAAATTTCAATTTAATGGACTACTTAACCTCTTTCCTAACCACTGAAGAAAAATTGTCTGGAGGGTCGTTTGTATATTTTTGTCGAGAAAGTGGGCAGTTTAGTTGGAGTTTTGACCGGTGGCGTTGCAATCGTCTTTGTATTTTGGAAATTTCGTTCTATGTTCCCTCCACAAGGTTTTATATAATTTTAATTGAAATAGCGGTTCTTGTTCCCTCCGAAATTCGGCAACACCGCTATTCTATTAGATTCAAGTTAGTTTTAAAGTTACACGTTTAGAGAAATATTTATGTGTGAGGTGAAAATGACTTCGAGGAGCGAATTACTTGTTAAATTAGCTCTTAAAGAAGGTAAGTCGTATCTATTTTTTAATTATTTATATATTAATAATAAGATGCCTGCACGCATGGAAAGTTTTGTTTTGTTTTTAGATAAACATTTGCATGTCGAGTGTTTTGGTTAGGTTACAAATATTTTATTTAAATTTTGTTATTTTTTGTTATTTGTATAATTATTGTCCATTTTTTACTATTAATATGGATTTTACAGAAATAAGATGAAATTTTGGTGCAGTTTTGTGTTCAAAGATAAGCATTTTGTGTCAATGCATCAACTTATTAACTATACAGAGTAACCTTTAATAGTAAAGAAAAAATACTCTATATGACAAATAGATAGATATAATTACATATTAAAAATTAAAACGTAATTTTAAATTTTAAACAATTTTTCCCAATCATAATTTTTGATATTGTTAGAAATGAATGCCACACTGTTGCGCTAAATATACTACTTGTCTTCTGGGTAATAGGTTTTTTATACAATTCAGGAATATTTATTTATTTTTTTTGATAACGTATTACTAATAAAGTTGTCGCCAGACTTATGCTAAAATTTTCAATGTTTATAATTTAAAACTACGTTTAAATATGTCTATATCCCTCTATTCTGAAGGAAATACTAAAAATATTTTGTTATATAAATTAAAATAATCACACGTAAAACCAAATGTAAAAAAGTATAGGGTAACCTACTTCCTTTAAAGAACAACTGCTCCATTGGCGAATACCGCAACAGGTATTGAATTATGTACAAAGGAAAAAAACAGATATTGAAATTTAACATTCTACCTTTGATTTTGCTTGTTAAGGAGAAGGTCATTATTGGACCGAGCGGTTTCGTCCTTAAATAGATTTTTCTCAGTTCTAGTCTCTTATGAAATTAACAAGAGCACCAAAATGAACCAATATACTATAAGGCTAGTTACGAAGAGACCAAGTATTCACGTGTTGAAAATGGTAATTGCATCTATTCTTAGTAAGCAAAATTAAAGGTCGCTTGCTAGCAAAATGAAAGGTAGAGTGGTGAAATTAACTTTCTATCTTTGTTGTTTTCCTTTGAATTTAATTTAATACGGTATTAGCCAAAGATGAAGTTGTTCTTCAAAGGAAGACGGTAGCCCTATAATTTGTGTCATATGGCTTTGAGTTTGACTATTTTATTTTACGTCTTGTTCACATTTGAGTTGTAATTATTTTCCTATTTTCTTCCGAATACTGTATCTCTAATAAATATGGATTTCTGAATTTTTAACCTGTATATTTTAAACCTGACAGAAGATTTTATAAGAAATATTTATTTTGCTACCGTTTATAGTAAAAAAGTTTATTGAAGAGTTCATTATGAATTTGTCAATTTTTTATGTGTATGTTTTATACTGTTTTTTAAGAAATTGCAGATATTACAAAGGGTAACTTTTTTTTGGTCACACTCATTGATTTAAAATGTCTGTAATTCAGAAGTTCAGATATTTTAATATCTATAATATAAATGCTGTATAAGCGAAAACTGAATTTACTTATATTTTCCTAAAATTTTCCAAACTAACGTGTAATGAAATGTATGTAACGTGGAAATATTATTGCATTGGCAATGTTTTTTTTTTAGTTTGTTCTGGTTTAGACGATTGCAACTCTAGTAAAATCTAAAATCTCTTTATCTTCAGATGACGAAAAACCTAAAGACTTACTTTTTTTCTACAACTGGAGACCATTTAGGATCTACTAACGAGTCGCCTGAACTAAAATCTAACTTCTTAAGTTCTGTTTGTGTTTTTTTTTTATATCTATTCTGTATTTTTATTAGCACACTTTACGACTTTTTTCTACATACAATAATTTTTGTACACATAAATGTCCATAGCACTTTTCAAACGTATTTTTTATGCAGTCGCTTTTTTCACTTTTATGATCGGAAACAAAGAAACAAATAATTTTAAAACTTGGACTTTCGCAAAATAAACAAATTTTCGTTTCACGCTAAGCAGTAATTGCTTTTTGCTAGAAACGAAAAAAAATGAATGTCCAAAAATTAAAATTGTTTGTATCTCTTTTTCTTCTTCTGCTTCTCCTTATTCTTCTTCTCTTCTGCAGTTTTGAAAATAACGGCGTCATACATATATGAATGACATGGCCCCACAGAGTAACTACAATATTTTTCTCTAAGAGGCCGCGTCGTTCATATACATATACTCGTATTAATATGACAGTATGAACATTAAAAAAAAATGCCAAAAAAAAAAACAAAAAAGTACAATGTTTTTATCAAAATCGAGTAAACATAATTACGCTAGTAAAACAAAAAAAAATATTTGGCCGTTTTTAGAATTGTGGCTTGGCAGTCAACGTGATTAATGAGAGACCGAAAACTATAATAATCTGTAAAAGAAAAATATATAAATATTAGAATTCTTTGGTCTTTAGCAGCATTTTTTATTTTGATTTTTAGATAATTAAGAAAGCGGCGTAGACTTCCCTTTAAACAAAAAAGGACGAACACTTTCAGATCTTGTTAATATCTCTGTAAAAAAAAACGAAACAGAATATTAAAAAAGGTAAAGTATTGTCATGAAACATGAATTTATAATTTACTTCACAAATGCTAAACACTTAAGTTCCAAACTAATAATAATTATATTATTCGCTTTTATCAAAAAATAAATTAAAAGGTATTATATATGTATTAGCTTTCCTTTTAATTTTTAGGTTGGAGACCAGAAGAAGTACAAATGATTAAAGAATATTTTAAAAGTGATATGGCCCGAAATACTTACCCTTCTGGTGAGAGGATAAAAGAGTTTATCCAAATCAATAAACTTCAACGAAGCGTTCCAGTTGTTAAATCCAAAATTGAACATTTACTTAAATTATGCAAGCAATAGCTATGTTCGTCTTGCGTTTTTTAATTTTTATTTTTTATTTTTAATAACATTGCTTTAGCTGAGAAATGAACATTTATTTAAGCCCAGTTAAAATAAGATGTATTAAGAATTCTTATAAACATAAATAAGTACAAAAATTATAAAACAAAATGTATTAATACTACTTACCTACTAAAAAATTACTCGTCTTAAATATCAATAATAGTATTATTAGCAAAATTAATAACGTGACGCGGTTATATGGAAGTGGTTTTTGAGATATTTGTCAAATACAAAGAGCTCTTCTAGCCCGTCGCGCCACGCAACTTTGGGCACTATTATGATAATCATCGGTAAATAGTCGTACCAATATACAAATTTCGGAATTTTTTGTTTAAAGTTAAAAATCAAAATATAAAACACCATGTTTCCTTGTTTCCACCTAATTTTCTTTAAGAAATATGTCTACACTATTTAATATTTCTTTCAAAAAACTAAAAAATGTAACAACATGCCTGCTACTTACGTACCTCTTTTGCATCAGCTAAACTTTAAAAAATACACAACTTTATTGTAGCATTAAATAATATAAATGGAATAACAATATTAACACGTAGTGCCCTCCACAATATGGCAACAGCGCTTGAGGGAAGTGCGACTAATTATTACATAAAAAATACTATAGAATCGGAGGGAACTAACACTAAACAATATCTTTAAAATATATATGAATTTTATTGATGGAATTCTTTACCCCTCTCTTGAGGGACATATAAAGACACCTCCCCTTAATATATATACAGAAGCATTTTGCTATATATGCAACAGAAATACTGGAGGTCGGTCCGTCTGGTGTTTATAATGGAGGGAAGAACGAATTAACGATACATATATATATATATATATATATATATATATATATATATATATATATATATATACTCGACCAGCGTATCATGTGACATCCAGCAAAAATTTTGACTTTGTGACATCCACCCTTTGCAAAGACTTTAGGAAAAAAATAAAAATATGACTTCTTTTAATTAAAAAAATATTATGGCTGAGCGAAAAATATCACAACCATACACATTTTAAAAAAA